AAATGCTGAGGAACTATTTATGCACTCCCTCCAATTTAATGGGGCCCTCTTATCCTTATTTTATTGAATCAATTGAGTAACCATTAATTAGGCCAATAACTACTTGTTAAATCCCATAAAACAGTGCTGTTCCCAGTGCTGGATGTTTACATTCCAAATACAGAAAAACATTTCAAAGAATTAAATTATTATGTGTAAAGTCACTGCCAATTTTTGTTCCATTTAGCTTAATGGTTCTTCAGATACCATAATTTTCCATTGTTTTTAGCGTAAAGATTTTCTTTAAAGATCTACAAAAAAAAAAAGCCCAAACCCTCAAATGTTGATGTTGTTTATAGCATTTGTCCTACACAATGTTGAGCCGCTCTTTTTAAAATCTTTTGTCACCTAGTTCTTATAGTGAAGCTACCAATGCCTTGGTTTGTCTAGTGTCTGATGCTTATTTGGGCAAAAGGAACTGGCTGGCCTTAGTTCATCCAGCTTTCCTTAAGAGAAGACTTGAATCCAGGTCTTCTTGCTCTTAGTCCAGGGGTAGGCAACCTTGGCTCTTTTATGACTCGTGGACTTCAACTCCCAGAATTCCTGAGCCAGCCATGCTGAGGGGAAAGGGAGAGATTCCAAGCTGAGCCATGCTGGCTCAGGAATTCTGGGAGTTGAAGTCCACGAGTCATAAAAGAGCCAAGGGTGCCTACCCCTGTCCTAGTCCATCATCTTAATATTGGTAAAATAAAAAATCCTGACATACATACTGACATAGATATTGAAATATTTAGTCCTTAATGGTTACTTTCTCAAATCCTGCCCATGGGTGGAACAATACATCCACTAAAACCTAACACAGACGAATCATTCTTGGCTTCCTAGCTCATACATAAAACCACAGGACTGTGTTTGAGAATGTATGTAGCAATGGCTGCAAAATGGAAAACACTGCAGGAATTCAAACCATCTCACCAACTATCTGCAACTAGAGCAATAAAATCATATTGAATTTAAATGTGCAGGGCCTAGAGTTGAAGCAGAGATACTAACATTGCTTGCACTGAGATATCCTCTTCAGAAAGTGAAGCAGTAAAAAAAAATGTGTTTAGCCTTTATGCTTTTATGTGTAAAATATTCAACACCATTCCACAATGTTCATCAATCTTACATTATTCCATAGAGCCATTTTAATTAACTTTGCCATTCTCGCATTCAGATGTGAGTTATAATATTTTTATTAGACTTCGATAAACCTCTGCTCATAAATAGTTTCGATACATAATTAAAAGGAAAAGAAGAGATGGCAATATTGTATCACTGACATCTTTTCAAATATTATATGTTCTCTTCTGAAGTCTCTTCACCAAAACTAATACTTTATTTACCAAGTATTTACTCCCTTTCCTCAAAATTCTCTAAAAGTTCTAAAATACCCCCTAAATTCAGTTCGAATTTCAATTTGGGGGGGGAAATCCCCTACTAAAAAAAAGGGACATGAGAAACATCCAGCATAATTTTTATTTTTATTTTTTGCTGTTCTTATCTAAACTTTTGTAATTGCCTTTGGCAATCTGAAGTGCATTTTTCCTCAAACCCTAAAGTCCTGAATTACACGTTAAGTCAAATTTTGGAGAAACAAAAACATTTCTACAAAATGTGAGAAATTCATGGGGTGAAATAATGCTGATTGTAAATGAAATGCTTGCACTTCTAACTGTATATTTTTCAGAAACTAACCTGGCCTCAATCCAAATGAACCTGAAATATTTTTGCTGCTTTGCTAACCATATCTGCAGGGAGCAGAAAGACTTAACTACTACCACATCCATTCCTAAAGACCATCTTTTCAGCTTGGATTATTTTTCTTGGCATGTGACAGCCTTGTAAAATCAGACGCCTGAAAACATAAATGCCCTCCAAATGTCTGTTAAAATAACCTTTCTAGGGAATACTTCCTATAAGAAGTTCAGTCTCCCATATAGATTCCTTTACACAGATGTATTTCAGTGGTCTGTATAATCCTTCTTCCTGGATTTTAAATAGTGGAAAAATATACTTCCTTTTGCCAAACCTTCTTTAGTTACTGGAAAGACTTATGAAATAAATAAATATCAAAAGGTATAAGTCACAAATAGAGTTCTTTCTGGACCACCTCTGTAATTACAGGAAGGCTGAAATCTTACACTTTTTTACAGTCATTTCAATGTATGTGCTTTCTTGGAAGAAAGACCCAGAATACACTTATAAATGTAATGTGAAGACTGATCCAAATGGCTTCCCCATGATAACCTGTCCCTCCTGTCACCATAATGTATCACACAAGCTGATGTGTAATTCTGGTGACCTGCACAGAAAATCTCTTGTCCCAAAAGATGCCCAATTTTCATCACAGGTCATAGAACACAATGTACAAGTGTTTGGTTTTTTTTGGTGTGTGTGTGTGTGTATTTATTTATGTGCATGTGTATGTGTGTATATATATACACAAATACACTAGGTGTGGTGGCCTAGTGGTAAAGATACTCCCCTCCCACTCAGAAAATTGAGATTCAATCCTAGGTAGCAGCAGATGTTTCTCTCCCAGGGTGCAAAGAAAAAACATCTGCTGTGAACTCTACATAGGTGTCAGGAAGGGCATCCAGCCAGTAAATACTCAGCTCTATCCAATGTGTATGTGTGTATGTACAGTATGTTTGTGTGTGTGTATGTATGTATGTATGTATGGCATGCTATGTATTTGTAAAGCATTCTATGTTCAAATATCACACAGACTGTTTATTTTTTATGCTGTCACGATTATTATTTGCACACTCAATCCCATGAATTAACACATTTAATTTCTAAAAAAAATTGATCTTGGATTATAATTTAATATTCAATTAATCAAAATTAGGCTGAAACTGAGTAGTAACACTACCTTTATCATAAAGTTGGAGTAACAGAATTTTACATATCTGAAATCACTTTCCCCCTCCTCTCCCTTTACTTTCCAGATAACTAGGGAGGGTTCCATCTTAGATGCTTACTCCACCCCCATTCATATTTTGAACTCAGGTTTTCTTTATCAGATTGTTATCTAAACTGTGACTCTTCCTCCTGTCTCCCAAAGTTATTCTCATAGCCCATTATAATGAGAAACAACATTCTATAAGACTCATACACATGCAAAACTGTGAAGACGTTTGCACTACAGTGTTCCCCATGTCTACAAAGGATATATCACCCTGAAGGGAAGATACTTGAGATCAGCATCATCAATTTCAAATAAGTAGTAGGAGAGTTGTACTTCCCCTTCCCAATTTGTTGTGAATGAAACATAGCTGAGTAGAAAGCTCATAGACCAGGGGTGTCAAACTGCCGGCCTGCGGGCCGGTATCATCATACCGAAGCCACGCCCACCCCATTGCAGGCAATGCAAAAAGAGTTGCGATATGTCACGACACGTCACATGACGTGGCGAATTTGACGCCCGTGTCATAGAGATTATTAAGCCAAACCAATGGTGAATTCTCTTCTATTACAACATAGCCTAGACATTTATAACATCTTTAGCATCTTTTCATATAGTAAAACAAACCAACTATACAGAATTTTACAGCAATTTTACTAAGGGTATTTGCAATGGAAATATCAATTTTATTTAGAAAGAGTATTCTTTATTTTGTTTCTGAAATGCTTTCCCCAGGATTTGCCCTCCCAAATAGCTTTTTATTTCCAACATATGTTCTGCAACAGCCTTTTCTTTTTTAATTAATGTAATACAATTTAGAGGGAAGCTCCTTCCTTCCTGGCAGTTCTCTCTTTCTATACACACCCACACACCCACATCTTAAAAATCATTTTTCTGAGTTATGTTGAGTTCAGAACTGCAGCCTCACTATTACTACTGATAGATAAATGGACTGTTCAATCCATATAGTTATACCAATTTTAACAGCTTCATAAGTCTACTGCTGTACTTTAATTAGCATTCACTCATATGACCAATTGGATTCACTTCAGCTGTATTGCTTTTAGACTAGCTTACTTTGGAAATGCAATCTATTCCTGAACAAGTTTACACTACAAAAAAAGTTTTGACTTTTCTTCTTTTTTCATCTCAGTATGATGAAAATTCCATAGTTTATTTTAGGTGGAAATACACTGGAGTTCCCAGATCCCTAACCCCAGTCAGTACAGTAGTGACTCAGGTCACAAAAGGTGAGCTTCTTGATGCCATCCCACAGATAATTAAACAATCAGATCCCTCCAGTACTACTGGGATTTATTTATTTTTACTTAGACATTGTACATCTTTAAGACTCCAAACTCTAAACCAATGTTCATGATAATACCAGATTTATATGAGATAATTGTCTTTCTTTCATTCAGTTCAATAGTTGTGCATATAGATTAAAATAACAGCAGGAATAAAGGTTACTGCTGGCAAGAAAGAAATGACCAGGTGTTTCAGATTGAGTGATCTAGGAATGGACTCACATGCCATAGCAACGCAGAGCAACAGAGATAACATATCAGAAGGATGAAATAAGAGACTGACAGACCCTTAGGAACATCACAAATAAATGGAACATTACAACCAATAATGCTCTCCTCTAAATCTGTATACAGATACTGTATATCCAAATCTGCAAAACTAAGATTTTAAAAATCATTGATTTCAAATGTCTTTGTGAATCATCTTAATCTACCCGTATTTCAAAATGTTTACTGTAGCACAATGTTTTCATTTGGAAATGTACTTTCCACAAGCCTTATACAAGAGATATTAATATTTGTTTACTTGTAGTTGAATGTTAGCCTAGATTTGGTTTGGGAAGTCCGGGGGGTGGGGGGATGGGATAAATCATTGTGTAATACTTGTGATGTATTTCTTTTTTTATGATAAAAACAATAAAATTCTATATTGAAAAAAAAAAAGATAGCCTGCACACAGCAATTTTACCATGTTCTGCCTTCAACGGTTATTCTGTTCACATAGGATTGAATATGTGACCATTTGAAAGCTGAATATTTACCTCAAACACCTCTTCATCCAAAATTCGTGTTCCAAAGACAGTAATGCCATTGGTGTCAACGACCGCCGGGCTGCTTCTCTCAAGTGGTTTTGTGGTTTTCTTCTTACAGTCCACAATCATGGTAACCGATTTCTTCTCCACACTAATGGCCACCCGATGCCACCTAATATAGGAATCAAAGTGTTTTAAAAAGAAGAAACCATGTACCTAGAAAATTTACATCTTAAGATCAATGGAGTAATTATAGTTGCTTAAAACATTTAAAGGCTATATTTCTTCATTATAACTAGGAACTCTTTTCCAGTAGCTCCAGCAATGAGGATTGCTATTGAACAGCAAATTTGCAGCAAATTTACTGGATGCCTTTGGTAAGCACCACATGGACATCCTTGTAGATCTAATGTGTCTAGAAAAGCTATATAAAACATACTTTGGACATCAATCTTTTTCACATAGTATGCCGATGGACAAGTCAAATAGTTATGACTTTTCTATACAAGCAATGCATACCCTGACAGAAAAATCCTGTCACTCATCCACAGAATCTTCAGGGCTAGGGTTTACAAAAACAAACCATGTAAATATCCTGAAACATAATGCTTTTGGGAGACCATATTTCTTCTACTCGTGGCAGCAGTGTAATAATAACTCCCCCCCCCTTTTATTCTGAAACATCAACTAGGGTACTCAACCCTAGGCATTAGCCCAACCTTAACTCTAAGCCTACCTCATAGGTGTTTCAAAGGCCAAAAAAAAAATCTTAAAATGGTCCTACTAGGCAGTTCCAGCCCACCACTGGTGTTCTCTAATATCCCACTGGAAATCACTCTAGCTAGTTTGTCTGGGAAGATACTAGGCAACAAGGTACATGGTATGCAATAAAGAAAATCATCATCATCATCATCATCATCATCATCCCTGGAAGGTGCAATGAAAGACAGTACAAAATTCTGTCTCATATAAAAAAAATAATCATTATCTGGAAGTGAGCACCTCACATTCCAAGATTCCAGGATGTAAGGGAAAGAAAAAGCAGATTTATGATCTGGCCAAAGATATAAACAAATGTTCAGTGATTAATTGATTAGCATTGCACATGGTGAAATTTTGCTTACAGCATGCAATATAAAAGCTCCAAAAGGATAAAGAGCATGCTGACATTCTTCAGGCTTGGCTGGTCCTAAATGTGGAATGAGTATAAGTAAGAATATATGTGCAAGTGTACAGGCATCAAACTTGTTAAACCATTAAAGCTTTATTGTTGTTAGAATTCAGTGCTCTTGTTATTCCTTGCAAGATCCTAGCTACCTCTTAATTGAAATTCTATCTGAAGGTCAGGGAGGTCAAGGGGCAAATGCCTCTTGGGCTGAGTGTGTGTTTTCTTTGAATAAATTTTCTCCATTGACCAAAGCTGTGCACAGAGTAGACACAAAACTCCCAGTCTCAGCCATGTATGAGTTGCAGATCAAAACGACTGGGGAGAGCTGGGAAGCGTGTTTCTCAATGGGAATTGTAAAGAAAAATGACTAACTCTAGGTGAGATGTATAAAAATACAATGGATTTTGAGGATTTTGTAACAGAAACACTAGCTCAGCCCGTCTTACTGACACAAGTCAAGATTAAGGTTCTCATAGCCAATCTCAGTTCAAAAAGTTTCCTGGTGAATTTTCTATTTGCTTAAGTATTCTCCCATAATAGAGGGAAAGGGACATACGAAAAGGGCTCTTTTTTGAAAGAATATTTATTTTTGCTAATTTTATTTATTTGAATGCTTCAAATTGACACTCCACAGATAGTTCTTAATTTATAACCTGTTGCTTAATAATCCATTGACAAGCTTGGACTGTAAAGCATCTGGCATTTGTAAAATATTGCATTGCCCGGCTCACAGTCACATGACCACATTTAAGCTGCTTGGCAACCGGTTCACACTTATGACTGGTTGCAGTGTCCTGTGGTCATGTGACTATGTTCTGCAATATTTTTTGCTGATTTCTAGCAAAAAGCACTCATTCAGGGATGTGGATTCAGACTCAGGACTATGTGATTTGCTTAATGACCACTGTAAAAATGGTCAAAAAATTGGGTCTGGTCATGGGATGCCTTGATAAGCAGTGACTTACAATTGAAATTCAACTGTGGTTCATAAGTTTAGAACTACCTGTACTCTGTGGGGTAATATTGAACAAGATGGCATATTTATAGACTCAGGCTAGTCTCCTGATACAAATCAAAATCAGTCAGATTGGTATCTTCATCCTTTTATGGCATGACTGAGATCTTACTGAGAAGGGAGTATGACAGCATATTATCAAGCACCCATTGAAGAACAGAGAAAACAGGAGAATATCATCTACTATAAGTAGTATGTTAAGGAAAATAATTGACAACATATTCAAATAACTCACACAGACATCATAATCTTCCACTTACTTTCCATCAGCAATATTTACTGTACCAAAGATGGGATAATCTTCTGGGGCAGGCTTTCCATTTTGATCTTCAAACAAGAAGATAGGTGACCGGCCCACCTCAACGCCAACCTGCTGAATGCCGTGTTCATTGTAGATAGATAAAAGAAAGGACTGGACTCCTTTTTTAGGTTTTATTGTAAGTAGAACTGAAAAGTCTTCAGGAAATTTTCCACCTGTCAAGAGAACAATCCAATGTCACAAATCCTAAGAGCAAAAAACACAATTTTGGAATGCTTTTTTTATTAGAATGGGGATCAGGCTTTTTACATTTTCTGTTTAGTTCTGCAAATTCCATTGTAGGAATATTTCTTTTTAAAAGCTACTGTGCTTTCTTGTTTTACACTGCACTTAATTTTGGCCACAGTGTAATCTACAGTACATAATGTTTCCACTAATCTTATTTCAGTCCTATTAAGATTCTATGGGGCTCATATACTCATTATTTAATTTATTTGGAACTTAGCGTATGAAGATCAGTCTAGATCCATACTACTCCATCATAAATTTCAAAAACAATTAAATGTTGTGCAGTGTTCCCTATCTTACATATGTTGTGTGCTTCTTTTCATAAGATATACATGTATCGATGCAAATTTCCCCATTATTTAATTTTTAGGCAGCTCTCACTAATGCACATTTTTACAGATAAATTTCCAAATACCTACACAAGTTCTCATTTTTGTACACTTTTTCAAGGCAAAAATAGCTGAAGCTAAATAGACTTTGTGAACTATGTATCAATTTGTGCTGCAGTAGAACCTGTCTCTTTATTTATAAAAAAGAAAAGTGATTTGTTTTAACATTCTTCAAGAGCCATGATTTCAGTAGAATTTACTTCCAAGTAAGCAGCAATTGCTGTCAGTTTGCAATTCTAAATACAAACACATGGAAATAAGTTCCAGTGGAGTTTCCTTGAGAAGGGTAAATGTGCATGGAATTGATAACATTTGTCCCAGTGATTTGGTTTGATTTAAGCAAATCCAACATTTCCAAGAGAATATGTATTTATGTGGGTTTTAAGAAGCATATTCAAAGTATAATTACAAAAAGCAATGACAAAGCACCCTGATGTTATTTCTGCATGTGGCAAGAAGGAGGAAGAACATACTGTATTTTATTTATTTATATATCACATTTAGAAACTGCCCATCTCCCTCATAGAGGGACTTTGTATAGGCTTGGCCTGTAAGAGAAGATGGAAGGAAGAAGGAAGAGGAGGGAGAATGTGTGATAATTTAAGCCCACAAGAACAGCAGTCAGGTCATTCCAGGCCACAATCCTTATAAGTGATGATGTCAGTGTGTGAATCTCCCTTAAATAGGAAAGTATGCAAGGGAATGAAGACAAGACCTCTCTTTCTTGGAGTTCATGTTTTTGACAATGTACAAAAGAGTTTATGTTTAAAAATGGTGTGAGATAAAAGTGTCTCCTGTAAGATTAGAATCTTCACCACAATGAACTAAGCCAAACATGTCAAACTCACGACGTCACGTGACATCGCGTGACATATTAGAGCAGTGGTTCTCAACCTGTGGGTCGGGACCCCATTTGGGGTCGATCGACCATTTCATGGGGGTCGCCAAGCAAGGCTGTCCGCCATTTTTTTTGTCCGCCATTTTTTTTGTCCGCCATTTTTTTCCCCTTTTCCGGCGGGTGCCTTACCTCCCTTGGGCTGGGCCAGCTGGTGGTCGGCCTGCTCCGTCTCTGCCACTTGCCAGCTACGCCTCGGCCAGTGCAGGGGGCGGAACCACACATGTGCAGCGCTCCCGGGCAGGGAAAGTCCTCGACTTACGACCGGTTGGGTAGTCCTCGACTTACGACCGGTTTAGTCCTCGACTTATGACCGGTTGGGGTCGCGGCATTAAAAAGGTTGAGAACCACTGTATTAGAGCTTTTTCCCCATTGCTGGCAATGGGATGGGTGCGGTTTCCTTGTGACGCATCCAGCCCATGAGCTGGCAGTTTGACACCCCTGAACTAAGCAGTAACTTAGCTAACTCTCTTGAAGATTCACAGGTAGTCCTCAACTTACAACTGGTTGCTTAGCAACCATTCAAAGTTCCTACACACCTGCCTAGGAGTTACTTAGGACCTGGATTAGAAGCTCCAACTATTACTTCCCACACATACAATCACAGTCACATGATCACACACTTGGATGTTTGGCAACCAGGCTGCATTTATGACCGATTTCAGTGTCCCATGATCATGCTACCATGTTTGGAGGTGGGGGCAAAACCATAATCAAAGTGGCATTTATTTTCAGCAAAGCCCCAGCCATAGCTCCAATCATTTGTTCATTGAACAGTCGCAATGATTTATTTAACTGCCGGGGGAAAAAATCATAAAACCAAGTTGGTCATATGACTGACCTGCTTTGCGGTCCTCTTGAGTTAAAGCCATGATGGGCAGGCTCAATTACAGTTGCAACTTGAGGACTACCTGTACATGACCCATGTGTTGAAATCTTTCAGCAAAGGAGAGACTAGAGTGAAAATATGTGGGGAAGCTGCTGTTAGGATCAAGACAGCTTGGAAGCAGCAATTGGAGCTGACATCTGTCAACACATTTCTACCACTGTAGTTCTCCCTCAGCCTTATTGCCATTTACTTTCAATATTCTAGTCCTCGCTGCTGTTGCTTCCAAGAAAGTGGGATGAGGTCATGTATAATAGCTATATGGTGAAGCCTGTCTGCCAAACTATTTTTTTTTAAATGAGCAAGCTTATTAAAGCTTATTGCTGGAGTTTCAGATTTTTAGTAATGTTAGGGTGAGGGACATTTACTATTATGGGCCTCCTTTTTTCATATGTCAGCATAGTTTATACATAGCTTTTTTCTGTTATGCTGGTGATTTCATTTTGATTTATCATGAAAAGAATGAGACTATGTGAGCCAAAGCCAAAAGGTGTTTTTTTTTTTCCTAAGACTAAGTTAGTAGCCTGTATGAAATTGGTTATTCTTAAAATAAGCTATATGTTACGGTTGTCTTCTATTTTTATAGCATGACCATCCCAGAACTGGAAAAAATCTCAAGTGACCAGAAAAAATATATCATTTTCTCCTAATGAATATGGGGAGGTGGAACAGATGATGATAACAGTTGTCTCTATTTTTACTATTGGAGGGAGAGCCAGGAATTGACTAACATTGGAAGGACTAAAATCCATTGATTATCCTATCAGAAAAGTTCCCAAATGCCAAGAAATACAGTAATCCAATGAAATGAGATCATTAACATCATAAGTGACAAGCAAAAAGGGGTAAGGCAGTAACCTTGTCTAAAAATCTGATTGCCTAGAGCAGGGGTCTGCAACCTTGACAACTTTAAGACTTGTGGACTTCAGCTCCCAGAATTCCTCAGCCAGCTGGCTGGCTGAGGAATTCTGGGAGCTGAAGTCCACAAGTCTTAAAGTTGTCAAGGTTGCAGACCCCTGGCCTAGAGTTTCATCATTACTCAAACAACCCTTCTTGTTCTTAGCTTCTCTGCTAACTTGAACAAATACAGTATCTTAACAGTATCACTTCTGACTTATAAGGTTTTGATTCCTGTAGCACAGCTGCCCCGAAAAACAGAATTGTAATTATAACGTCTATTTAACTGAAGTTGGTTAACCGATTGGCTGATTCTATTTACTTATTTCTACTAGGAGGGAATGAGAGAACTCGAACACCAAGTGAGAGATGGTAACCATAATTTAATACATATCCGAAAGCAGCCATGTAGGTTGTCCACACTTCATTTTGCTTTTAATCCAGTCATAATCTGGATTATGGATTATAGTGGATTATACTAGATTATGTGCAGTGGTATTGCCTAGAGTGATGAGAGGATTTGTTAGCACACTTGAGAATCATTCTTTTTTAATATTTATAAAATACATCGAAAGGAGGAGAAAAAGAGTTAAGCAACCTTTTAATTTCTTTTTAAAATTTTAAATTATCTCAGCTATAACAGTTTAGGATTTTAGGGGGTTGGGCCACAAAACAATTTGTATTTGCCTGGGTCCACTCATTAAAGTGGCTTTGTAGCACTTAAGTATTCCATGCTCTGTAAATTTCCAATTATTTAAGCTCCTTAAAACCTTTGTAAATGAGCAGGGGCTTAAACAGATTATACTTATGGAAGACTTTGAAATAATATTACAAATCATTTGAGCTTTCCTGTGTCTCTGGATAGGTTTATGGGTGTTTGATTTATAATCCTTTTGATAAGGATGGCAAAAGTTCAGGTGATACCACACACCACCAGCTGCAATGGGAATTGTAGCCCAGAAGACCAAGTTGAGATATGGCTGCAGTAAAGGAACTTACATTTTATTTACAGCTCATTTTACCAACCATTCCACTTTTTAAAAATGATTCTGTATTATAAGATCTAAGTTGCACAGGTAACCTCCAAAAGGAAGAAAAGGAGCTGGCCTACAAATGGGAGGAGGGGGCTGAGGGAAGTTTCAAGAATTGAATACAGCTCTCCTTACCTGCCTTGTCCGAATTGCTAACCTCATCCAAAAGTTATGCTGAGAATGCTTAAGGCAGGGGAACACTGATTCATCCAGTCTAGGCATGTGCTTTCAGTCAGATACAAACAAATGGTAGAAACCCTGCAGGAAGTCACATTTTTTAACTGTAAAAAAAAAAAAGACCCTTTCCCATGGTTACTGCCAACAAACAATAAGTGTAATAGTCGAGACGTACGACCACATTTGAGTCCAAACTTTATGTTGTTAAGTGAGACATTTAAGTGAGTTTTGCCCCATTTTACAACCTTTCTTGCTGCCGTTAAGTGAATCATTGCAGTTGGTATGTTAGTAACCCGGTTGTTAAGTGAGACTGACTTCCCCATTGACTGAGCTTGACGGAAGGTCGCAAAAGGGGATCACATGATCTTGGGATACAGAAACGGTCATAAATATGAACCAGTTGCCAAGCATCTGAATTTTGATCACATGATCATGGGGATGCTGGAAAAGTCATAACCATGAAAAACGGTCATAAGCCATATTTTCCAGTACCGTTGTTACTTTGAACAGTCACTAAATGAGCTGTTGTAAGTCAAGGACTACTTGTACATGGAAGCTGGAACAATTCATACGCTACTTTGAGCTGCAATTATTGTTTCAAATATTGCATTTCTTTTGCCATCCAAACAAAATTTTGTGTTAACTAGGGAAA